ACAATCACATTTGTAAATTTGTGAGAAAATTTCACTCTTAATATAAAAAATTCCTAATTTTTCGTCCCAAAAATTACTCAATTTTAATTAACATATTTTCAGTTTCAAATTCAAAAGATTTCAAAAGGTTAAAAGTTAAAAAAAACTCCTGAAAGTTTTCCTAATTTTTTATTTTTTGAATATTTAATGAAATTTTTAATGTAATGCCGGGCAGAAACATCTATTTTTTTTAATCAAATCCACCCTAGTGGACTTAGTATGGGTAAATCCCCCTTACATACTCTTTTTTGGGAATTAAACCCATATCTAATATCAAGAAATACAACATCCTAATAACTAGGTTTCCAATCAATTTCCTAGATCTAGTTTCTATCATTGCAACATATAAAAATTGTTATTGTTAAACGAACATCTTAATACATCATTCTAGCTAGTCACTGTCTATAAAACTCTAAACTGTTGTCTATACATACATTGGGTTACATCTTTAACGAAGAAATGCTTTGATAGAGATATGAACCACGAATAGTCCTCCTTTCAGTGGATGCTAAAAGAAAATTCTAACTTAATTAAAGGTGAGTACGATGACAATTCACTGGACTAAACACGAAAACATTTTAAACATTTCTATAAAAAAATATAAATCGATTTATATATTTCATCATATGTTTATAACATATGAAGCCATAATAAATATATAATTTTTTATACAAAAAAAAAAAAGATAATTGTCTTACAACAATTAAATTATAACATTATGTGTATAAACAATACTGATAATATCATATTTTAACTACAAGGTAATGCATAACGGCGAATCATCAAATCTTTGTTAACCATGAGCAGCAGGTAGCCGCTAATAAAGCCAAGTAGTAGTATACTGCAAAATTGATTTCTCTCTACACATGCACGACCTCCACAATATACTTCCTCCGCAGCAACTCCTTAATTAATGGCTCGAATACTGCTACTATGAATTCCCATCGCTTCAGTAGGAGACAAAACTAACTCCACAATACGTACATTGACAATCAACTTCAGCCTTCACCTTCCTCAATCAATTATCCCATGCTTATTGTAGTCCAAATACATAATTTTGATAGTCTTAGAGAAAGTATCATGAATTACTTTTTGCCTAAAACGAAAATCATATAAGCCCTTCATGAAGACAATGGGGTGTATGGGATAATATACTAAGGAAATTTGATCTTTTACTCTTTTGTTAAATAATACTCCTAAAAATGATCTACATTGTATTTTGTGAATTGTGTTGTTTTTAGTATAAATGATATGAATTATTTTTGGGCGCAGAGGGAGAATGTAATACGGGTTAGAAATCATATTAAACTAAATTTTTTGAGAATATAATACGGGTAAGAAACCATATTAAATTAAATTTTCTTTTAATATCAGGGACCAACACAAAGTAGAATCCAAGATTAAGGGATGGTTGGTGAAATTTAACTCTAGAAGAGGGATAATTATGTTACATCTAAAGTTATCAAAAAGAGGTAAAATCCCCAAGAAAAATAATTAGTTTTCTTTTCTTTTGTTTCCACCTATTTTGGTTGTTAAGATAAGTAGGCAATAATAATGGAGGATTGGATAGAGTAAACCTAAATAATGATTTTGGAAGCTTGTTTAGTTTGGTTTGATTAGGGTTTGTGACCAAACATTCCAAGTATTTTTTGCCATAACATAACAAATAAGATTCGGGGTGGTTTTGCTTTAACTATAACCCATCTCTCTTATTCTAGCAAAGTAAATGAATTGCTGAATGTGTTCTATGTCATTGTACATGTTGATTCAATTGCTTTTTTTAATGTCCCCTTATAATTTTATCATATGGCAAACAATGCCATGAAAGTTTCCTCTCCAAAACACAAATTGTCTAGTACAATAAATAATGCTAATAATTTTCAAGTATCCAATCAATTAATAATAATACGTTGCCTAAATTTAGGTCCACTATACGAATAACTTTGTGTTAACATCTTCATTTGCTAATGATTTTATAGTCTACTAGTCTAAAGATAAGGTGCCTCCCCCTTCTCTTTTGAGAGGATACAAAAGAATTTTGTTACTTGTTCTTTAATATTTAAAATTGTTTTTGTAAGTTCTTTTTATAAGCAATTCAAATTTTGTCAATGGATCTCATTGGGAATTTATAGAAACCTTTTTATTCCTTTCATTCTCCATAGAGTATTTGCTAACAGAAACCCTAATTCTTTCTTTTTATTTCAAAAAAGGGGGGAAAAGGAGGGGGAAAAAAAATAGGGTCCTGCAAGTTGGAATTAGTGGTTAAACCTGGCTCTGCTACTACATTTTTTTGGCAGTAAGAAAAATAGGAAGAGAGGCTGGAATTTATTGGGTGTATGACAAATTGGCAGAAGTAGTGGTAGAAAGTAAAAGCGCTGATTTTGGTGATCATAAATGTGAGTCTTGGATTCAGAGCCAATCAAAATCTTTGATTACTACCAGTATTTATTTTTCACAGGCATTGATTGGTAAACTACTCCCCATGTTGGTTCTTAAATTAACCACCACTAACAGTTAATGTGTCCTGACTTTGTCAGTCAATACACAAACATTAGGCTCTGTTTGTTTCCTTGTTCTATTTTTCAGAATAATATAATAATATTTGTTCTATCTCAACATATTTTTTTATATTTTCAATACACTTTTTTACATTTTCAATACAAAAAATATCTAAAAACACACATACTAAAAAAACGAAACAAACATACCCTTAGAAAAGATAGTTGCATTCTATTTATCTCCCTTCCAAAACTAGAATCCCGTTTTTTGAGCTATAAAAATAAGAAATGGACCCAATAATTTATTCACAAGACCAAAAAAGACCGAGAAGTTTTGGAAAATGTAGTTCGCTATGTAGTTCGGGAAAAATGTAAGGACTTAATCGAGTGGTTATTTATTTATTTCATTTTTGTTAGGATTAAATTTATTCAGCAATACAAATGGCAATGAAAATGTTAAAAAAAAAAAAAAGAAGATTGAAAATTATTTCTTGGTAGTATATTTCTAATGATCCAATTGTTAAAATCTATAAATTGGACTATGTAATATAAGTATTAGACTATGCACGTTTATCAAGTTTCTCACTGTTTCTAGATGACACAAAACTAATAAGTCAATTTTAAAATTATAATTTTCAACAAACTAGAGACGGAGAAAGTAATGATTATCAAATGAGTAATATACATTGGCGAAACTTGTTATAGATTTTTTTTTTTTTTAACCTCGACAACAACTATTTAACGATTGAATTTCAGTAAATAGAGAACCTCTTGACGCTCTTCCTCTGTAATGTAGTCATAATGTTAGAAGACGTACCCTACAAATGTTGTAGATCTTTGAATTTAGAACCTTCATAGAGCCTAGAAAAAGAGTGTTATTTGCTAGGACTACAAGGTGGATAAATAAGAAGAACAAAAACTTTAAAAGCATATGAAAATATAAGATTTAACAAAAAAAAAGAAACTCAATGTAAAATTACATATAAACGAAAGACTTTGAAGTCTCAAAGTCAAAAAGGTAAAAGGTAGAAAGGCATTCTCGAAATTCATGCATAAAAAATAAACCCTTTTCCTCCAGAGGATAGAATTATACTTTTATGGGTATTGATTCTCATATTACAAATAAACAATTTAATAATATAAAAGTGTTAATCACCTTTGTGGTTTCGCATTTGTGTAATTATTTTCTTCCTTCTTTTAAGATTTTTATTTTACGTAATAAATAAATAAAGTCATGGTTGAATATATAATATAAAATTTAATTTAATTGCAAACACTATATATGTGGTATATATACAACATTGGACAAAGAACGTAGAGAAAGTCCAATTTAGAGAGCCCAAAAAATATTTTTTGTAGCCCAATTTTGAACTGAAAATTAAATTATATTCCATCCGTCCCAAAAAAATAGTACACATTGACTTTTGAGTTTTGTACTGTTTTTAGTACAAATTTAAAAATTCAATGTGGACTATTTTTTTAAAGACTGATATAGTAATAATATATTGTAATAGATGTGAGATCAGTATATATTTACTCATTTATTTCAGAAAATATTATGAAATTAAAAAATATAGTCATTTTTTTTTAATCAAGAACGATGTTCATCCATCAAATATAACACTAGCGATTTAAGAAAAAATAAGAAAAAGTAAATTTTTATTTTTCTCAAAAGAACAGATTTTGTGCAAGGAGAAAAAGAGCAAAAAGGAAGGTTCTCCCCTCCCTTTCTGTGATCTGTTGGAGTCTTTATTCCTTGTTTGCCAGTCTATTCTTTGGATTATACGTATAGATCCTTTTATATACTATTGTTTACACTTTGACCCCAAACAAAAAACACAAACTTTTAATTTAATTGTTTTCAATTTATTTTGAAAAAAAGGGGCCTCCTCAACCCTCTCTTCAAAGCCCTGATATTTCCACTATATAAAGCCGCCATTCCCCTCCCTTCCAATCTCATTTCCCCTTCCCCCAAATCCCCCAAAACCACCATCTCCATTGCATTCTTCTTCCTCTTCTTCCCTAACAAACTCCGCGCGCCGCTCTGTTTTCACTCATATGATAAAGGGCTGTCTAATTTTTTATGCTCTGTTTTCTAGTATTCTGCTAAAAGTGGATAAGGTTTATTGAAAAACCAGCACAACCCTTGTGACAAGATACAGCTGTTGTTGTTTCTCTTCTTGTAGCAAGAACAATACTGCTTACTTTTCTCTTTTTTGACTGAGGTTTTTTTCTCCTTTGTTTTTCTGGGCTTCTCTGTTTTTTCCCCCCTTTGGGTGTATTAGTACATGTAACACGTGCACACGCCATTGAAATGCGTGAGATGTTCATAAAGTCAGCATCTTTTTGGGTGGAAGAATTGATTTCTGTTGTTGTTTGTTGTTTTTGAAGGAATTTGAAGAGAAGGGGTCTGCTTATTTTTGTTTGTTTTTTGGGTTGGAGGAGTTTGATTGAAAGATTACAATGAAGTATGTTTTAGTCACTGGTGGAGTGGTGAGTGGACTGGGAAAAGGGGTGACTGCTAGCAGTATTGGGCTCATCCTTAAAGCTTGCGGGTTGCGTGTTACTTCTATTAAAATTGGTATTGTTTCTCTTCCTCTTCCATTTCGCCATTTTCGTTCTCCAAAGATGTAAATTTGTTTGTGGGTTTTGGGGGCGGATTTTTCTTGGTTTGACGCTCTGATTTGTAGTTTTCTGCACTGGTAAGGTGGGTTTGGGGTACCTGGGGAGTAATGGGGGAAAAATTGGATTACTCCCATGTGTCGAGCACTTCTCCATTGTTTTGATCTTTTAGTGTCACCGTATTCATTTTGGAGTTATGGATCGGACTCAAAAAAAAAGGTTTCTCGTTTTCTTCCCCCTTTTTATCTGCAATTTTTGTTTTCTTTATTTGGTAAACTTTACCCTGTTGAAGTTCTTCGTTTTTACCTTTCCTCGAAGATTTCTGTTATCCATTTTCACTTGAGCCGACAAGTCTTGAATTGGAAGTATTATTTCTTCGTGGCCATGTTGCTAGAACCTTCATTAGATGAGCTTGGATTAGCAGTTTGGGGTTTGAATTTGCAGTTTGGGTTTTAAAATCTCCAACTTGGTCAAAAGCTAAAAGCGTTTGCCTTTTTTGCTTTCTTTTTGGAATTTTTTCCCCTACGATTTTAGCTTTGGGTTATATTCTCTTTGTGTCTATGTACTCCATGTGTATTTCAAGGTGCTGAAATCTTTCTCTAAGCTCTTTCAATTGTAGGTATAAAAAAAAAAATTGAGTTGATCTGGTGCTGTCATTAATTTTGTTTCCCTTTCTATCTCCTTGGTTATTACAGCAGGCTGTTATCATAACACAAGGTTGTCGTAAACTTTGTAATTTTCAATCAACCAACGCTTTTGGACTTATGTGCTCACTCCTTCTTTGTGGAACTCTCTCATTTTTTACTTTGTTTACTTTTAAAATTTGTCACTTTCTAACTAGAATGAAAAGCATATAGCTTTTTTGACTTGAATGATTCCCGCTTCAGTTTAAGGATTAAGTGTTCTTCCAAATTCACGTGCTTTATATTTTGCATTTAGTGGCTAGATTAAGTTGGTGGTTAGGCTTTCTAATTTTTTTCCCCTTGTAATTTCCTTTAGATCCCTATTTAAATACTGATGCTGGGACAATGTCGCCATTTGAGCATGGAGAAGTATTTGTCTTGGATGATGGTGGAGAGGTTAGTTAGAATTACTTCCAGAACGCCTACAATCTTGGCTTTGCTTGCTTTACCTTTTCTTTTACATCATTAGATTCAACAAACATGATGGGTCATTGGACCAACTTTTTATTGTTGGGGAGAAATAAATGTATGGTTTGCTTATCATCAAGCTGGATTTTCAGTTGTTTTGAGTTATCTCTGTTACGAATTATCTGGGATTTTGGAAACTTTCTTCCATTATTGTCGTGGTTGGAAATTAAGATGATTTTCCATATCACACTTGAAATGAAAATGTTTACTAAATCTTTTTCTTTTAAGGTGGACCTGGACCTAGGAAACTATGAACGCTTCCTGGATATTAAGTTGACACGTGACAACAACATTACCACTGGAAAGATTTACCAGGCAAGTATAACCTTGCTTTGTCGAAGACTGCTACTTGAGATGTTTAGTTGAATGCTTTGGTTTAATTTGGCTAATGACACTTTATCTGCTTCATTTTATCAGTCTGTCATTGACAAAGAAAGGAAGGGAGATTACTTGGGAAAAACTGTTCAGGTTGGTGATAATCTTTCTGAATGGCAGTTTACAGTTTATCATCTCTTGGTTCAGTAGATTTATGGTATTATCTTTTCTTCTAGGTTGTACCTCACATTACCGATGCCATACAAGAGTGGATTGAACGAGTGGCAGCTGTACCAGTTGATGGGAAAGAGGGTCCAGCTGATGTTTGTGTCATTGAATTGGGCGGTACAATAGGTGTGTTACTGATCAGGTCTTATTTGAGCAAATGCTTCCTCTGCCTCTTCTCTTAGTTTCTACTCTACAGCTACTCATTATTATCTTTTCAATGACGCAGGAGACATTGAATCGATGCCCTTCATTGAAGCTCTTGGACAGTTCTCTTATCGTGTTGGTACGTGATTGGAAATTTGAAAGTTGGATGAATTGGCTTTACTGAGTTGGGTTTTCTGAAGTTGATTGACTTGGGGACCTTATGTTTTCTTGTCTCAGGAGCTGGCAATTTCTGCTTGATACATGTGAGCCTTGTGCCTGTTCTGAATGTCGTTGGTGAGCAGGTGCGTTGCAAAAGCAAATCATGGCAATGTATTAACCATATCTTTACTGTTCTGGATTTAATATATTTAATTATGTCTAACTTCTCAGAAAACAAAGCCTACTCAACACAGCGTTAGGGGATTAAGGAGCTTGGGTCTCTCGCCAAATATATTAGCTTGTCGCAGTACAACGGTCTCCTTCTATCACTCCTTACTCTTCAGCTTTACCTTCGATTCTTTTCTTGCTTCTCTGATTTTATATGCACTTCCACACTGTACTAATTTGTTGAAACTTTCTGCTTTTCCAGGCACTTGAACCAAATGTAAAGGAGAAACTTTCCCAATTTTGTCATGTCCCGGTAATAAGAAATTTCTTTAAGAGTCACTTAGTTACTTATTTCTGTATGCCTAGCTATAATATCTGAACTGAATAAGCTTGTGCTTCACCTGCAGTTTGAGAACATAATTACCCTGTACGATGTGCCAAACATCTGGCATGTACCTTTGCTTCTAAGAGTAAGTGCTTTTCAAGTGTGATTTTTAACACTTACTATTTTTAATTTTCATAAATTGCTCAATGTCCCGTTTCTTCATTTTTGTTTAGGACCAGAAGGCTCATGAAGCAATCTTGAAAGTCCTCGACCTGCAGGGGTGTGTATAATTAACTCAAATTCTGTACCCTTTTTTGCCTTGTCTGTTGAGATGCTTGGTTTCAGTACCCTGTTCATTATGTCCTGACATGCATCACACTGTTTTTATCATTCCAGTGTTGCTTGTGAACCTTCTTTGGGAGAATGGACATCTCGGGCCGAACTTTGTGATAGATTGCATGAACCGGTCAGTTCTTTTGGTTTTCCTTTATTGGCACTTGATTATTTATGTTTCATTTACCCTGAGTTTTCTTCTCAGAATATTTACACCGTTGTATATTACCCAACAGGTTAGAATTGCTATGGTTGGGAAGTACAATGGCCTTTCTGACTCTTACTTATCTGTTCTAAAGGTTAGTTATCCATTTCAACATATTCATCAATGAGTTGTATCCATTCTTATGTTAGTTTGATCAGATATATGATACCCGCGTTGACCTTGCCCACTTTCGCGTTGTATATGCGTGCTCAATAATTATATGCTCTGTATAACATGTTAATAAATTTCATCCAATTTTCTTAAGCTTTTTTCCTTACAATAATGGTCTTGATTTTTGGTCAAGAGTCATTCTTTTAAAGGGTGGATTAGGGGAAAAATCGTTGAATCTCTTCTAACTTGAAACATCTTCTCTTTGCAGGCTCTTTTACATGCTTCTGTTGCTTGCCGTAAGAAGTTATGCATTGATTGGGTTCCTGCCAGTGACCTAGAAATTGCAGCCGCCCAAGAGGTTCATAATTGAGTTGCATTTAAATTTTTTTTTTTTGTTCTTTTTAATGCTCCTTTCAGCAAGAATTGACATTTGTTTCTGTTGTTCAGAGTCCTGATGCATATAGAAGTGCTTGGAGTCTGCTGAAGGTATGAATGGATTACTTTCCAGTGCTCTAATGCTGACTAGTATATCCTGCCTTAATTATACTTTGTGCAGTTTTTAGACATACTCTGATAAGCTGTTTGTAATATAGGGTGCAGATGGTATTCTCGTTCCTGGAGGTTTTGGTGACAGAGGGGTGGAGGGTAAAATTCTTGCTGCCAAGTATGCTCGTGAGAATAGGAAACCATATCTTGGAATATGTTTAGGGATGCAAACTGCAGTAATTGAGTTTGCCCGATCTGCCCTTGGAATGGTAGATGCAAATAGCACAGAGTTTAATGCCCACACTCGAAACCCATGTGTCATTTTTATGCCAGAGGTTTGAGCTCTCTTGCTGCTGCTGTTTGTTGAGGGATTACTAACGTTTAGTATGTAAACAGTTGTTGACTCGGCAGTGTCATTGTTACTGCTTTGCAGGGTTCTAGAACTCATATGGGGGGTACAATGCGGCTGGGTTCACGAAGGACATACTTTCAAGTTATGGATTGTAAATCAGCTAAGCTGTAAGTTCTCAATTTCAAATCTTTCCATTGTTTTCTTGTTGGTGGGAACTTTCTTATCAAGGGACTGTATGTTGAGTTTAAAATTGTAGATAATGTAGTTGGGGGGTTCGGTTTAGATTCATTTTGTATTTGTGAAGAGTCTGGATTTTACAATTTCATATGGACTTTAGTTTACCGTATGTCACTTATTTTGTTCATTCTATCAATTGCAGATATGGCAGTAAGAACTATGTTGATGAGAGACATCGTCACAGATATGAGGTACTTGGCACTTTCTGTGCATGCTCTTTTGTTTGTCCATGTTCTCTTTTATGTAAGGATTGCTCCCAAAACCCTGTCTACACAATTAACTTCATCACTTGCAGGTAAATCCTGAGATGGTACCACAACTCGAGGCCGCTGGTCTTTGCTTCACTGGGAAAGATGAAACCGGTCGACGCATGGAGGTCAATCAAAATCTCACTGCCCTCAGTTCGATTATGCCGTTTAGTTTCCATTTACCTTCTTTTTTTTTTTCCTAAAAAAAAAATTAATTTTAGCTTTTCATTGACTGTTTTCTTCCCTTGGTCCTGCAGATTATCGAACTACCAAATCATCCTTACTTTGTTGGCGTTCAATTTCATCCTGAATTCAAATCAAGACCTGGAAAACCTTCTCCAGTTTTCTTTGGTAACTATTCCGTCGTCTCTCCCTTGTTAATGTCATTTGAGGTCGTCAAAGACTAGCTGCTCACTTGTTTTTGGTCTTTCCTTTATTGACTGTGAATTCTCCTTGTCAATGTTTTCCACTGATGAAATCTCTTCTCAAAAACAGGACTTATTGCTGCAGCCTCAGGCCAACTGGATGGTTGGTTAACGAAGAACAAGGGCACGGCCTCAGCGAAGCCCTCTTATGGGTTGAGCAACGGTACTTCGCCAATAAAGTCACATATTAACGGAAATACAACTAAGCTAGCTAATGGACCTTTGGTTGGAATGTACTACAATGGAAATGGTTTACATGTTTAATCTTTTAGTTAGGTTTCTCTGCGCTCGTTTTTGTCCGAGGATACTATACCAAGATGATTGCCCCTTTTCCATGGGTGTGATTTAATCAAATTTTGCTGCTAGCTTCTTGCGACAACTATTGGGTATGTATAGGCATAGGTGTTACACAGGTTCTAAGATTTGACCCTTTGATGAAATTGAGGTAGTAGTGTGGAGGGAGGGGGCTGGACTCCGGTGATTTTTTTTTTTACGGAACAGCAGTGTTATAGTTACAGCAAAAAATGCAGTTGCAAATGGGGGGTGTTGAGGGGTTTATTTTCACTCTTTGTTTAAATTTCGATGCTTCTAATTATCTTAGGGACAAAAGCCATGCTTTGATGTATTATAAGGACTTTGTAGTGACCAGCAAAAAAAAAATTTGAGGGCTTAATGGATGATGCTAATGATGTTCTCATCCATTCCCCTACTTTAATATATTGCTCTTGTTTGTCATTTGCCAATTTTTGTTGGCGTGAATTGGCAACGATTAGATCAAATTTTAATGACCCACTTTTCTATTGTCTTGCTTGAATGAAATGATCATTAGTATTTTGACTTCGTAGTATGCAAGTCCATTCGGACCCATATAGATCGACCTTTTAGTGCGTGCACCCTGCAAAACTTCATTCCAGTTGGGAAAACCTTCTCACTATTCTGTCATGTCTTCCTTGTTCCTGTCATTTGACATTTTCGGATAGTAAACGATCATTTATTTTTGGTCTTTCCCTTTCATGTCCATGAATTGTCGCGTGCTGCCAATATTTTCCGTTGAGGAAATCTCTTCACCTGAAATGAAGGATTTATTTGAATGCAGCTTCTGTCTTGATGGATTGAGAGCAATGGTCCTTCGCACATAATATTGGAAAAGCAACTAAGCAAGCTAGTAAATCATTTGATTGGATGTACTGCATTGGAAATGGTTTACATGTTTAAACCTTTAAGTTGGTTCTTTTTTTTCCTGGCTCTGAGGATACTATATCAAGATGATGGCCCCGTCGCAATGAGTGTGATTGAATCAAATTTTGGTGCTAGCTTCTTGCGAGGATTAATTGATGTTAGACGTGCAAAATGATCTCAGCAGCATTATTACATTTCATTAACAGTACGAAAAATTTACCAAAGTAAAAACTTTAAACGAAAGAATAGAAAACAGAAGATCAGGCAATGCAGTCTCCTTTTCAGACGAGAAACTCCCGAAAGAAATCATAGGGCCGCGTAGGCTGAAAGAGGTCCATACTCGTCAAAAAAATAAAAAAAATAAAAAAAGATCTTCACTTAAAAACTGACATGTAAGAAAGCAAAACCGGAAAGAAAGAAACATACCAGTGATGAAACCACCGAAATCACCACCGCATCCATAATCTTTAACAGCAGCTGCAGAAGCAGCGACGACAATAGAATCTCTTGCAAACTTTGAAGCTTCAATATAGGACATCTTGAGAGGACCTTTGCTATATCAAATGACAAACAGATGAGTATGAGAAGATGTAGTGAACCAGATCCCCAGATAATGGAAAAAAAAAAGTCATTACAAGTATCGAAAATCAGAATGCTGAAGGAAGTGCAAGAACAAGTACATGCTAATCAAGGAAATGTAATACTACAGAGACAGGAGAGGGAGTTATATCAACAGTATGTCATCAAGAGTAAGGCAGTTGAAAGCTATTTGGCTCAGGAAGCGAAAGAAACCTGGATCAAGAAAGGTGATGCCAACAATGCCTTCTTCCATGCTAAAATGAAAATCAGAGCCATGCACAATCGTATTAACTCCATTGTTGGGCCAACTGGAGAGATCATCGGAGACTGGGAAACTATACAGAAACACTTTGTTGATTTTTTTCAAGGTCAGCTGGGAAGTTGTAGTAGCAGAGTAAGTACAAAGGCATTAGTTTCCGACATGGGACCAGTTCTTAGCTGGCAACAGCAACTAGCAATGATTAAAGAAGTTAATGTTGTGGAAATAAAATCAGCAATGTGGGTGATCCATAATGATAAAAGCCCTGGTCCGGATGAATTTGGAAGCGGATTCTTCAAAAAAGCCTGGCCAATTGTAGGAGAAAATATAACAAGAGCTGTGCATGAGTTTTTTGAGACCGGTAAGCTGCTTAAACAGGTAAATGCTACTACTCTTGCTCTTATACCTAAAAATGATGCCCCTCAAAATGCTAGTGAGTATCGACTTATAGCCTGCTGTAATTTAGTGTATAAGGTCATCTCTAAAATCATTAGCAGTAGAGTAAAAGTAGTTTTTCCTGAGATTATAGACTCTAATCAGAGTGCGTTTGTAAGTAACATATTTATATTGCACAATGTTTTGATAACACAGGAGCGTATAAGACTGTATGGCCGTAAAAATATAAGTGGAAGATGTTTATTTAAAATTGATATTAAGAAGGCTTATGACTCGGTGGAATGGGGGGTTTTTGGAGGAGGTGTTGAAGGGATATAGGTTTCCTGAAATGTTTATTCGACTGATTATGGAGTGTGTGACTACGTCATATACAGTAGGGTTAAATGGAGAAAACTATGGCCACTTTCGAGGATAGAGGGGTTTGAGACAAGGCGATCCACTCTTGCCCCTTCTATTTGTCCTGATCATGGAGTACCTTACAAGACAGTTGAAGGAAGCTGCCAATGACCCTATGTTTAAATTCCACCCCCAATGCAAGTCTTTGAAACTCACAAACATCTGCTTTGCAGATGATTTGATGATTTTCTGTCAAGCAGATAAGTATACGGTTCAGAAGATAATGGAGGTGTTACATGTATTCTCTGATACTTCTGGTTTGGTGCCTAATCCTATGCAATCTGATGTATTTTTTGGAGAAATATCTGCTGAATGTAGATAGGAAATATGTATGACTACTGGATTTAGAGAAGGAATCTTCCCGATGAAGTATCTTGGTGTGCCTTTATCACCAAGAAAATGGAACCAAACAGATTGTGATATCTTAGTTCAGAACTATTGGCAGCCAAAATCAAATGTTGAAGTTCCAGAAAGTTGAGCTATGCTGGCAAGTTGCAGGCTTTCATTCTGCCTAAAAGTGTTACGCAGCAGATAAACAGGATTTGCAGGGAATATCTCTGGGGGATCAAGGAATCTGGAAGATGGTGGCCTTTGGTGAGTTGGGATATTGTCTGTAAACCTAAAAAAGAAGGAGGACTTGGTGTACAGGACGCAATGAAGTGAAATGAAGCTGCACTATTGAAGCATGGCATATTGCCACTAAAGCTGACAACTTGTGGATAAAATGTGTGCATGAGATGTATATAAAAAATGGAAATTTTTGGAACCTTCAGCCAAAACAAAATTCAAGTTGACACTGGAAACAGATCTTGAAGCTAAACGAGAGAGTTAAAGGGCTGTTTATAGGCAGCAAATGGAAGCATCATCCTTCTAGAATATACACTACAAAATCAGGCTATCTTTGGCTAATGGGACAGCTTCCAAGAAATGTAGTAGGTGTATTTATTTGGTGCATGTATAACATTCCAAAACATTCTTTTATTTTGTGGCTTTGTTGGAAAAATAGACTTATGACTAAGGATAGACTGGGTAAGTTTGTAGTGTTGCAGAATGATGGGAATTGTGTTCTTTGTAATCATTGTTTAGAAACAGCTGAGCATTTGTTTTTTGGTTGTAATTTTGCCAAAGAGCTGTTGAGTCTGCTGACTCAGTGGATGCAGATTAGTATGCCTGTACAACAAAGTTTATGGAAGAGAAAAATACTGAGGGTATGGAAGAAAGCAAAGTTGAAAAGAAGGACCTTGTTTGCAGCAATGGCTGCCTTGATTTATCACCTATGGGAGGAGAGAAACAGTAAAAGCTTCACTGGAAAAATCAGGACTAGTGAACAGGTAATCCAAGTAGTTAAACAGGAATTGCAATGGCGAATCTTGAATTGTATAGATAGAAAGAAATCTGAAGCAGAACAGAAAATTTTGGATCACTGGTTTTGTAATAGTTGAAAAGGTTATGATTAATCTCTTGTAATAGAGTAGTTTTGGTTGTAAATATGTTTTCAATGGCCTAATCAATATATTTACATTTTCACCAAAAAAAAAATAAATTAAAATATCAAACTCGATTATGTGCCGTACATATTTTCATCCTATATTAAAATAAAATGTTTTTGGGACAAATGTTATAATTTTAAAATTAGATTACAAAAATTAGAAAATCAAGCTCGACTAGGTACAATAAATCTTTTCATGTAATACATCAACTTTATTTATTTAAAATTACTAAATTTGTTTAACCGTAGCATAAAAAATTTGTGTGTTGAATGAATATAGTTTAATATTATCCGTAAATGGATTTTTTTAATTTGAAAGATCACTAAATGGATTTAATAAGTTTAAATCAATTATTATCTTATACTAGGTGTTAGACCCGTCCGATGGACAAGGAGCACATATACTACACAAACAAATCAAAAAAATGTTAATATTTGTATAGATTTTTGTATTTTTATAAAATATATAATGAATTTATTAAAAAATATAAAACACAAACATCGACAACACTTTACCAAACGAATACACTGATGATTTATTTAACACAAAAAAGATTGTTAAGAAATTAAAAAAAAAAATTTGAATTAAATAATTATATATCTTGCAATATTTCTTGGTAGACTACATTGGTAGTTTGGGGTGGAAAGGCCTACTAAGGTGGTTAAGAAATTATGATAAGGGATTTTTTTTTTTTTGAAAAGGTTTATGATAAGGAATGGTTACTACAGAAACAACAACCCTAACTTGTTGTAGAGGCCATCCAATTTTTTAATAAGAAAAATTTAAAAAAATAAAAAAAGTTGGATATCAGGACCTTTATTCCTTGTTTCGGAGTGACTCTTGATATAAGTATTTTTATTTTATTATTTTCTTTAAATATGATGCATTCTCACTTTCCTTCATTTTTTATTTTTTAGCCTCATTTGTTCGTTTGATTTAATTATTTCTCATCACCTATCTAATAATTTATCTTTAAATAACTTACCCGCTATCAGAAATATTTTATTTAAAATGTGAGGATGAGACTATTTTTTTACCCTTAAAGAATATCATTTACCTATTTTTTTCCTTCATTAATATCTTTCTAGACACTTTCGCAAATGTCAAATCCATCCTGCTCATTTTTTCGAATTAAAGTTAGATTTTTTAAGAAAATAATTTTAAAATTTGGTTAAAAAAATCATAAATTTGCCACATAAGATTTAGTCATATGTGCCATGATACGATACCTTAGATTTTCTCTCTCTGGAGTTTGTTTTACTATAATATATATATATATATATATATATATATATATATATATATATACTTCTTTTCAGGAAATAAAGGAACAAAAAAATTAAGAGCCCAATATTTAGCCGTATAGACCCCTTAATATTTGTTGAAAACACGAAACATTTAGCAGCCACACACGATTAGACAAATAAATTTTTTTTTGGATAAAATTAGACAAATAAATTTATCTTATTAAAAAGCACAAATATTTTTTTTAAGAAACAAAAACTGGAATAAAAAAAATTAAGTAGATAACCAATTCAACAATCACTGTACCATTGTTGGAATGTAGTGTGCATCAGAAATCTATGCAAATTTTCAATAGAATGAAGAGCACAACCTGAACTTGAAATTCATTACCAAGATTAGCGAAACAGAGGTAATAATCAAACTATTCTAGATTTCAAAACAAATAGCACTGTTAGAATCACGATTTCATCAGCATTCAAGAAGAACCATTTCGTCAGTATTCAAAGCCGTTTCTTGATTCCGTTTCTGCATGACAAAATAAATAGCTTCTCAGCTATTTTGCTTTCTATCCATCTTCAGACCATTTTTGTGAGATCCTGAGTATTGAGACCTCCTTACTTAGCGAGTAGTAGTTGATTCATGTATAAATTAGTAAGATAAACTAAAAATTTGGATTTCAAAACGTTAAAAAAGAAGAAGAAAAAATAGCCATAATTGAAGCCTTTTAATATTTTTATTCTTTGCCAGAGCCATTCTTAGCCCCGCTATATCAACCGATCACCATAGTATTTTAACTCAATTCCGTTGAAGCTAAATTATAGAAGTTTCAGGTTGGCCTAACTTCTTTAATTATTTT